CCAAAACCTGGAGTGATTTTATAGAAACCTGATTTTAGAGGAATTTGACATCTCATCTCAGTTTGGGAGGGGAAGAAAAAAGGTCAGTTCATCCTCAGCTGTAAGAAAGATGTAGAAGATGTAGAAAAGTGTCTCTCCTTTACAAATACCAAATTCTGTAGTTGAGGCTAGGTTAAAACTTCTGCCCTGTGACTTTGATATGAAGAAGAATTATACTAAAGTTAAAATCAATACGTTGGAAGTAAGAGCTGGAAAAACAACTCCTAGTTTGCCAATTTTGGTGTTTTACTCTGAGATACTTGTGAGGTGTTTGCTTCTTTGGCAATGCTATTTTTCTTGATGGTTGGTTGATTGTTTTTGTAAGAGAAAAGTAATCTATGATTTGAAGATGGGCAGGTAACTGATGCTTCTCTGCAGCTTTGTATGAGTGCAGATATTAAAGTACTAAAGAAATTTCCATCTTCCAAACTAACTCATTGCTAAAAGTTAGAATAATTCATACTGAAATTTCCCATAAACTTTTAGAAAATGTCTTTGGCCTGCTATCAAAGAACATCTGAAAATCTATTTAGACATGTTTTCTGTATATTTAAAAATAGTTTAGATAATTATTACCTGAATGTAATCTATAGAAGAGTTAAAAACTAATAGAAATTGTTAAAACCAGTGTCAAAATAGCTTCCCAAATCTGCTTCAAAATTCTGGCCATAAAATGAACTGTTCTTCTTAACTAGTACCCCCGAATGGTGGTACTTTTATATTCTCTTCCTCCAGCATGCCTGTTTTCCTTCTAAAGGGTGTATAGATTTTTTTTTTTTGTACTATGGTGTATAACTTTTTTTAATCCTTTGATGTATTGATATTGATGTAGTCAGATTTAATATATTGGTACTGATGTAGTCAGGTTTCAACTAGCAAACTTTTCCTGGGTTGATTGTAAAAGAAATTATTTCTGTGCTGTGGTGTGATCTTTGGTGCAGCTCTTTACTTACCACAATTTATGGAAGAGAGGAAAAAAAAAAATTCAGCTAAATTACACTTTGTGCACTTTAGCCAGCAGAGGGAGCCAATATAAACACAATGGCAATCACAGAACACTTTTTAGTTGACAACAAATGATGTTTACACATTGGAAGGAGACTTCATAAGGTATTTTATAGTCTGTACTGAATTATACATAAATTTTAAGGGGAACAGATGTGAAAACATAGGAATTGCTCCTCTAATTTAGTAACCTTATTCCAGTGGAGGCCAATACCAGATTGTTCAGATGGAGAAATGATGCTCTCATCAGGCTCGTTTGTGCTAACGTCTGAAAACTGTAAATAGGGAAACTGTGAAAAAGTAGTAGGGATACATCTTTATTCTCCATTTAAATGTTTTTGGTGGAAATGGCAACTTTTTTTGTTAGGACGCAATGGAAAACTGTAAATATTCAATTAAAAATAAGAACTGCTCCTCCAAAGCAGTACATATAATTGCAAAAAAAAATCCATATTGTAACTTCATGGTCTTTATATCCTGAAACGTAAGGACTCTTTTCCCTGTAATAGAAGTGTAGATTTTGTCTTACTCATATAAATATATAGTCCTTGTGTGCCTTGACCATATTCTTTGTGTATTGGTTTAAAAAAAAAAAGTTGCTTTTGTCCTTTTCCTTATGCTTTGGGGTAGGTGTGAGCGCCTTATTGACCTACATATTTGTTTACTTTTTTTTTATCTTTTAAAAAAAAAATTAATGCATGCCATCATAGGTTTTCTCTTGCAAGACTAGTGTCATTAGGTTTGGCTTCTCCAAAAGCCCCTAGGTTACTGCAGCTTTGGATGCTGTGCTTCTGTTCTGATATTGCACCAAAGGAAAGCTCCTTCTCTTAAGTCACTTTGGTTTTTTTTTCTCCTCACATGTAAAGGAATTTAAATTTGTAGTGTTCCAGGGATCAGCCTATTATATAGAGTAATTTGGAGCATTTACAGTATGTGCAAGAATATTTGTGTATGTAACTGGGAGTCATAATAGCAATGTTTAGCAGGGCACTGAGGAACAAATTGTTGAAAAGGCTTCAGTGGCCTAGGAAAGGTACTCTTCTCAGCCCTCTGCAACTTGAGGATAGGGAGGGGCTCATCCAGGGGTGATACAAGACCCTGAAATCAGCTTCTGGAAATCCCCTTTTCTGTGTGTTCCTTCAGATTTGGTTAATGCTCTTCAGTGCCTCAGCTGGCTTCTGTGAGAAGGAGTCAGTGACTCTGTAGCCAGACAAAATGGATGTGGAGAGTCAAGGATTGGTGTGTTGGTCCCTCTGACCAAGGGCATTTATCTCCTATCATGTAATAGCAGGTATGAGTCAGAGGGAATTTGGAATATTTTTTTTTGGGGGGGGGGGGGGGGATGCTTTGAGATAATAGTATTGAAGTGGAGATCCATGCAGCTTTCTTCTGTAGGTGGTAAATGATGAAATAGGGGGTTTTGTTTGGTTTTGTTTGGTTGGTTTTTGGTTTCATTTTTTTTTTTTTTTCACTTAGGGTAGACATGTACCACATATCTCCCTACATGGATCCATGGTTCTGCCATCTTTTGATAATACCACTGCATGCCAGCAGTTGC